TCCTTCTTTCTAGTCTGTCTCAGTCTATAAGCTGAAATAAATATGTATGAATTATTTAGTGGAAAATGAATCTGCTCTGTAAACTCTCACCCAAATCACAATAAAAATCACAATAAATCACAACAAAAAGTTTAAAAAAAAAAAAAAAGCAAAGACAAAGTAAGCTCTCACCCTGGAGGAGGGCTTTGAAGGAGGAGTCAGTGGGCCAAAGGGAGACAGATGTGTAGTTCTTAGATCCTGTGCCATCCAAGCCAAAAGTGGTCACTCATGCACTGATGTGGAGAAAGGAATCTGTGCAGATATCAGGGATATCAGCAGGGAGCCAGATCCTGAAAGTTCATCTTCACCAACCTCCTTATTGCCCACAGTTTGGAAGTGAGACTCAAATCTGGTAAACCAAGGTGTTCTCCAGAACCTCCACCCCATAATAACAATCATCTATCTGCCTGGAATGATATGTTGTGTGGCAATCCACTCTCCAGCTGCTGTCCCATCTTACTATTCAGATGCTTACTCTTTAGATGCTTCAGATGCTGGTCTTCAGCTGCTCACCACCTCACCTGATCTGGCCTCTTCCACTCCTACTTCCAAGAGCAGTAAAGTGTCCTATTACTTCCAACCTGCCTTTGAGTCCTGGGATAAGTACACAAGGTAGACGAAAAGAGATAGCAGGGGTTGGCCATGTTCAAAGATTTCAGCTTTTAATGGAGAATTCTTCTTATCTATCCTTTAGCATGGGAGCTCTGGTAGCATAGAAGTTTGGGCAATCCTACTTCTGTAGTGATACCGCCTCGGAAACCCAAGGAGGGGTCGCTATGAGTCAGGGCTGAATTGACGGCACATAACAACAACAACAACAATCCTTTAGCATATCATTCTATATTCACTGTCAATGACAAATCAAACTTGGGTACCTCTTTTAATTTAGCTGAATAATTCAGGATTCGTTCTGAGTGAAGTTCATCAAAACCAAATACAGATTTCAGATCAGATTGGACCATCTGGGGATTCCACACCACATCCTTCAAAGATAGGTTGTATCCTGACTCTACAAAATAAAAGATATTTTACATTGTCAGTTGTTTAACATTTTGGCATGTTCAAAATAATTCTGCAGTATGGATTCATCTCAACATAAAGAAAATGAAAATCTGCACAACTGGACCAATAAGCAATATCTTAATCAATGGAGGAAAGATTGACATTGTTAAGTGTTAACCGTATTACTTGGTTCCACAATCAACACCAATGGAGGCAGCAGGCCAGACATCTGACAATGTATTGCACTGGGCAAATCTGCTGCAAAAGACCTATTCAAAGTGCTGAAGAGCAGAGGTGTCTCCTTGAACAAGCCATGGTATTTTCAATCATCTCATATACATGTGACAGCTGGACAATGAACAAGGAAGATCGATGATGTTTTTGAGTTGCGGTGTTAGCAAAGAATACTGATAGTACCATGGACTACCAAAAGAAGTAACAAATCTGTCCTGGAGAAAGTACAGCCAGAATGCTCCTTGGAAGCGAGAATAGCTGGACTTCATCTCACCTATTTTGGTCATGTTGTCAGAAGGGACCTGTTCTGGTTACCTAGTGACACTCTGACAAGAATATACCACAAATGGGATGGCATGAAGAAACAGTTTATTCTCTTACAGTTTGGAGGATTTAAGTCAAAGTGCCAGGCTCTAGGGGCTGGGTGAAAGCCCCTCAACCTTGGGCTTCAGCTCTGCCTCCTGCTCCTGGCCCACTGAAGCTGGAGGCTTTTCTTCACTCAGCTGCAGGCTGCTGAGGCTGACAAGCTCAAAGTTGACAAGTAAAAAGGCACAGTCCCAATGTTACCAAACCACACAGTAGGCCATTAATTCAAGACCACTGAAAGTCCCAAGGTCGGCAGAGCATGGCAGGCTATTGAACAATGACATGGCTACATGCAGGGTTCAAGTGTGCCATAAGCTAGAGACCATTACCAAAACTGTTTCTTATATATGGGAAGCAGACCACCTACCCAAAGCAGCTACTCAGCTGCTCACAGTAAATTCCACCATGGAGTTGATTGCCAGTCTCAACCAGGCCCAGCCAAGTTGATACTTAACTGCCACAGTACCATTTCCTGGAGAAAGGTATCATGCTTGGTAAAGTGGAGGAATGAATGAAAATGGGGAAGGCCCTCAATGAGGTGGATTGACACAGTGGCTGCAACGATGGGCTCAGGTATAGCACAGATTGTGAGGCTAGCACAGGATAAGGCAGTGTTTCATTCTGTTGTACACAAGGTGACTATGAATTAGAGCTGACTTGATGGCACCTAACAACAATAACAAAAGTAATTCAGAAAAAAAAAGTAAAATCCATCTTTAATTCTAAAAGAAAAGTAAATGAAGACCAAATACTATTCAGGTTATCAAATAGGAAAAGAGAGTAGAAGCTAATGCTTGATACTATTGAGATGATGCATGTGCCATAGCATAAATGATTGCAAAGTTTCTAAAGCATAATATTAGAATATATTTCAGAAGACTTGCAAAATTAAGTCATTGAACCAAGTAACTGCACATCTGCAAATCTATCTCATGGAACTTAATCAGATACACGAACAAAAACTAGAATTTGTTGTTGTTAGATCCCATTGAGTCAGTTCTGAATCATAGTGACCCTATGTACAACCTGACCAACCTCAAAATTGTTGCTATGCTCATTATTCTACCCACTCTGTCAATCCACTCACTGATGGTCTTCCTCTTTCACTGACCCTCTACTTAAATGAGCATGATGTCATTCTGCAGGGACAGTACCTCCTCACATATGTCCAAAGTACCAAGGTGAAGTCTAGCCATTCTTACTTCTAAGCAGCAGTATGGCTGTTCTTCCTCAAAGACAGATTTGTACATTCTTCATGTAGTCCATGGTATATTTAATGTTCTTTGAAAACACTATAATTCAAATGCATTAACTCTTCTTTCATCTTCTTTTTTGATTGTCGAGTTTTTCTATGCATGTGAGGTGACTGAAAATACTATGGCTTGGGTCAGGCACACCTTAGTCCTCAAAGTACATTTTTTGCTTTTTGATTAACACTTTAAAGGGGTCTTTTGCAGCACATTTGCCCAATGCAATACATCATTTGATTTCCTGACTGCTGCTTCCATGGACATTGATTGTGGATCCAAATAACATGAAATCCTTGACAACATCAATATTTTCTCCATTAATCATGACGTTGCTTATTGGTCTACTTGTTAGAATTTTTGTTTTATTTATGTTGATGTGTGACCTACACTGAAGGCTGGAGTTTTTGATCTTTATCAGCAAGTGTTTCAAGTCTTCTTCACTTTCAGAAAACAGGCTGTGTCACAGTGTCATCTGCATATTGTAGGTTGTTTTTGAGTCTTCCTCCAATCCTGATGCCACATTCTTCTTCATATAGTCCAAATTCTCAGATTACATGTTCAGAATGTAATTGAATAAGCATGATGCAAGGATAAATCCCTGACACACACATTTCCTGATTGCAAGACACACAGTATCTGCTTGCTCTGTTTGAACAACTGCCTCTTGGTCTATATACAGGTTCTGCATGAGCATAATTAAGTGTTCTGGAATTCCCATTCTTTCCAATGTTATCCATAATTTATTGTTATCCATACAGTTGAACGTCTTTGCATAGTCAATAAAACACAAGTAAACTTTTTTTTTTCTGGTATTCTTTGCTTTCTGCCAATATCCATATGACAACTGCAATGGTATCCCTTGTTCTGCATCTTCTTCTGAATCTCGCTTGAACTTCTGCCTGTTCCCTGTAGATATACTGCTGCAACTGTATCTGGATGATCATCAGCAAATTTTTACTTGTGTGTGATATTAATAATATTGTTTGATGATTTCTGCATTCTGTTGGATCACTTTCATTGGAATGGCCACAAATATGGGTTTCTTCCAGTCAGTTGCCTAGGCAGCTGTTTTCCAAATGTCTTAGCATAAATGAGTGAGTACTTTCAGCACTGCATCCATTTGTTGAAACTTTTCAGTTGGTATTGCATCAATTCCTAGAGTCTTTTAGTTCCTGACAATGCCTTCAGTGCAGCTTGGAATTCTTCCTTTAATACCATAAGTTCTTGATCATATTTTACCTCCTGAAACAGTTGAATATCAACCAATTCTTTTTGGTATAGTGACTCCCTGTAATCCTTCCATCTTTTGTTGATGCTTTCTACATCATTCAATTTTTGGACCATGGAATCCTTCAATATCACACATGATACTTGAATTTTTCCTTTAGTTCTTTCAGCTTGAGAAATGCTAAGTATATTCTACACTTTTGGTTTTCTAACTCCAAGTCTTTGCACAAAAACCAAAACCAAATTTTGTACAAAGACTTGGAGTTAGAAAACCAAAAAGAGAAGAATCTGAATACCATTATAATACTTTACTTTGTCTTCTTGAACCATCTTTTGAAATCTTCTGTTAGGGTCTTTTACTTCATTTCTTTTATTCAATTTAGCTACTCTATGTTTAATAGCAAGTTTCTGAGTCTATTCTACCATACATTTTGGTCTTTTCTTTCCTGTCTTTTTAATGACCTTGTTTACTTAATGTATGATACACTTTGACAGCACCCCACAACTTGTCTGGTCTTTGATCATTAGTGTTCAGTGCATCAAATCTATTATTGAGATGGTCTCTAAATTCAGGTGGGATATACTCATAGTTGCACTTTGGCTCTTGTGGACTTGTATAATTTTTCTAGCTTCAACTTGAACTTGCATATGAGCAATTTATGAGCCATTCCACAGTTGTCCTCTGGCTTTGTTCTGACTGGTGATATTTAGCTTCTCCATCTTCTCTTTCCAGAGATTTGATTCCTGTGTATTCCATTTGGTGAGGTGTATGCATATAGTCACCATTTATGTTGTTTAAATAAAAAGGGTATTTCCAATATAAAGGTAGTTGGTTTTGGAAAATTGTATCATGCAAACTCTGGTGTCATTTTTATCACCAAAGCCATATTTTCCAACTGCTGATCCTTCTTTTTTTTCAACTTTTGCATTCAAATCATCAATAATTATCTATGAAAGTGATTGCATGTTTGATCATTTTCAGACTGCAGAAGTTGGCAAAAAAAAAAAAAAATCTTCCATTTCTTCATCTTTGGCATTACTGGTTGGTGCATAAATTAGAATAATAGTCACATTAACTTACCTTCCTTGCCAGCATATGGATGTCATCCAATCACAGATAGTGTTGCACATCAGGATAGATCTTAAAATGCTCTTTTTATTAGTAAATGTGATGTTATTCCTCTTCAATCTGTTTCCAGCATAGTAGACTATATGATTGTCCAATTCAAAATGTCAATACTTATCAATTCCAGCTCACTAATGCATATATCAATCTTTATATTTTCTTCTCCATTTTTGACAATTTCCAGTTTTCCTAGATTTATACTTTTAAATGCCATATTCTAGTTATTAATGGATGTTTTCAGCTATTTCTTTTCATTTTGATTCATGCCACATCAGTAAGTGAAGTTTCTGAAAGCTCTGTTCCAACTACATCATTAAAGTTAACTCTATTTTGAGGAGGCAGCTCTTCCCCAATCATATTTTGATTGCCTTCCAGTCTGAGGAACTCATCTCTGGCACTATATTAAATGGTGTTTGGTTGCTATTTAAAAGGTTTTCATTGACCAATATTTTTTTAGTAGATTTCCAGGTCCTTTTTCCTAGTCTGTCTTAGTTTGGAAGATGCACTGAAACCTGATCACCACAGGTGACCCTGCTTGTATTTGAAATACTGGTGGCATAGCTTCTAGAATCACTGTGACACACAAACCACCACATTATGACAAACTGACAAATGAGTGGAGGAAATATTAATATACAATGATGTTATTATATTGATTTAAAATTGATTAAAATACTAGAAACCAGCTAAGCATGTAGTAGGAGGGAAAAAGAAAAATAATATGGTATATTTATAACAAAATAATTGTTGTTGTTATGTGCCTTCAAATTGGACCCTTCCTTGGGTTTTCAAGGCAGTATCACT